GACAGTGAGAGAGTGAGAGTGAGAGAGTGAGAGTGAGGCAGTGAGAGTAAGGCAGTGAGTGAGTGAGAGTGAGAGAGTGAGGCAGTGAGTGAGAGAGAGGGAGACAGTGAGAGAATGAGGCAGTGAGTCTCTATTTTCATAAATAAAAAGAATCACACAATCATCTCACTTGAAGCAGAACAGGGATTTGACAAAATCCAGCACTCATTCCCGATAGAAACAGTCAACAAAATATGAAAAGAAAGGAAATTCCTCAACATATACATATACACCAAACCAACAGCCAACATTACTGTCAACTGAAAGAAACTGGACAGAGACCAAGGAAATATATCCTTTATGACCATCCTATTCCAGCTGTGCTGGAAGTCTTATCCAGAGCTATTAGACAACAAGGGGAAATGGAAGAAGTAAAACTCTCTGCAGATGCGATGATCCTATACATAGAAAATCTCAAAACATTGCAAGAAAATGATTGAATTAATTGAAAGTGACAGGGTTCCAGATGAACATACAAAAAGCCAGTTGGGTTTTTATATGGTAACAAGAGAGCTTTAGAACGGAAATCAAAAAAACAATAGCCATTAAAAAGATTAAGTACTTGGGAGTAAATATCAACAGAGAAACTAAAAACATGCACAAAGAGAACCAGAAAACACTATTATAAAAAAAAAACAAAGTAAAAACAAAAAAAAAATTTTAATCATTTTATTAGGGGCTCATACAACTCTTATCACAATCCATACATATATCAATTGTGTAAAGCACATTTGTACATTCGTTGCCCTAATGTAAAAACAAAATTTACTGCTACTGAGTGAATTCCAATCCACGGTGATCCTACAGAACAGGGTAGCAACTGCCCTATGGGTTTCTGAGACTAACTCTTCATGGGAGTAAAAAGTGTCATCTTTCTCTGTTGGAACTGCTGGTGGTTTTGAGCTTCTGACTTTTTGGTTAGCAGCCCAACTCTTCACCACCAAGGTTCCTCCTAAAACAACGAGATCTCCATAAATGAAAGGGTATGCCACACTGATGGACAGGAAGACAGAATTATGAATACGCTGATGTGCCCAAAGCAATCCCAGTTCTGATGCCAGCATCATTCTTTAAAGGACGGAAAGACCCAGATAAGCACAGCACTATTGGAAGAACAGACGAGGAGTCCTCTCAACTTCTCAATCTCAAAGCCCACTACACAGTCACAGTACTCAAAACAGCTTGATACTGGTACAGTAAATGCAAAGACCCCGGAAGATGAGTATCCAAAGGTAAGTTCAAAAGGAGTCCTAATGGTCTAGTGAGTTAGTTGTTGGACTGCAAACCACAAGGGAAGCAGTTCAAAAGCACTCTGTGGGAGAAAGATGAAGCTTTCTACGCTCATAAAGAGTTAGTCTCGGAAATACACAGGGACAGTCCTAGTCAGTTCTGTAGAGTTGCTGTGAGTTGGACTGACTATATGGCAGTGAGGGGTTTTCTGTTGTTGTTTGTTTTTTTAAGAGGTAAATTCATCCACACATAGACAGCTAATATTTGACAAAGGTCTAAACACATTAAAAGGGGAAGAGAGAATCTCTTTGACAGATGCTGCTGGTAAAACTGGTTATTCATTTACTGGTAAAAGAAGAAGAATGAAATAGGATTCATATCTCATACCATATACAAAAGCAAACTCAAGATGGATCAAATAATTAATTAAATGTAAAACCTAGAACTACAGAGATTATTAATGAAAGAATAGGGACAAACGTAGCAACTCTATTATATAGTATATATATATATATACATATATATATACATATATATATATATACACCTTGAAGCATAATAAAAAACACAAATAGCAAAATGGCAGGGACCTCCTAAAAATTAGACACTTAGGTGCATCAAAAGATTTCATAAAGTGAAAAGACAACTCATAGACTCGGGGATAACTTGGGTAATGACATATTAGACAAGGTACAAACTTCAAAAATTTATATAAAACTTCAAGTGAACTAGAAAAAAAACAAATAATACAATTTAAAAATGGTCAAAGAACACGAACAGACACTTCACCAAAGAAGGCTGGCTTTGAAGAAATGCTTGCAACAATTAGCCATTCAAGAAATGCAAATCAAAACAAAATTGAGATACCACCTCACCCCAGCATGCACAGCAGTTAAAAAAAAAAAAAGCCCAACATAATAACAAATGCTAGTGAGGACTCAGGGAAATGGGAACACTCACACACTGCTGCTGGAATTCTAAAACAGTCCAACCACTGTAGAAAGCTGTGTGACAATTCTTCAAAGAGTTGGGATAGAAACACCATATGATCCAGCAATCTCTATACTTGGTACTCGGTACCGCCTAGAGAAATAAGAGCTACTACATAAACAGATACATGCACACCTCTGCTCATCACAGCACTAGTCACGGAAAGATGGAAAGAATCTAAATGCCCAGCAGTGGGAGAAAGGATAAACAAACTTTGGTCCATACACACAATGGAATACTGTGTGGAGTTAAAGACTAATGATGAATCCGTGAAAGCCCTCACAACATGGGCAAACCAGGGCATTACGTTGAGTCAAACACAAAGGACAAATGCTGTGTGAGACCATGATTATAAAAAGTTAAGAATCTAATTTTGGGTGGGGGAGGGAAGGAGGTAAAAAAAGAGTTGATACTAAGGGTTCAAGTAGAAAGAAAATGTTTTGAAAATGATGGCAACACATGTACAAATGTGCTTGATACAACTGATGTGTGGACTTTTTTTTTACATTAGATGTATTGATGTTATAAGAGCTGTAAGATATACGGGTTGCGATAAGAACTGTAAGAGCCCCCAATAAAATGATTTTTTTTAAAAGGAGCCTCCGATACAATGATTCATTTTTTAAAATTTCATTTAAAAAAATGAAATTTCATAAGAGAAGGAATGTTCTTTGATGTTTACCTGGGTGCAGGTGGGGAGGCAGCGAGGAAGGTGTAGTCCAGGCCAAGAATAGCCACTGGGGTCTTAAGAGCTCATGAGCAGTCACTTAAGGTGCAATAATTGGTTTCTTATTGGTTTCTTCCCACCCAGAGCCAAACAAAATGACAAAAATACAAAAACACGTGGAAATAATCGGTCCCTTGGACTAATGGACCACACAGACATCAGTATCCACCACCCCTGGGGTCACAAGAAGCACCTGGCACCTGGCTTCCTCTCCGAACTTCTCTGAAAAAGATCACGTTAAAAGATCTTGGACAGAGTGGGAGAAAAACATGAGCCAGAATGTGAAATCCTTCAAGAGTCTAGGCTGACTGGCTGGATAGATACTGGTGGGATCTCCAAGACTACAGCCTCTACTCTTCAGGATGGAACTGACCTTGCAGGTTCAGTAGGGTGTCCACTTGTCCTGGATGACAGACCACAGGGTATGTTGACTGAGAACAAATGTATTCACTGGCTACTTAACATTTGCGTTTTGTTTTTCTCAATAAAAGGAGGTGACTTGGACAATAGGTTAGAGTGTGGCCTTTGGAATCCCTCACTTATATTTTACCCTAGTTCCACCACTATGAATCCCTCTTACCAAGTTCCCTCACTTAGGAAGTAAGAGTTTTAGCCAGCAGTGAAAATGCATGGAAGGCATTTCATGTACCCTGTTTCCCCGAAAATAAGACAGTATCTTTTTTTTTTTCTTTCAGTTCAAGGATTGTTTGTTGACCTTTAGGAGTGTTTTCCAGTCCAGTCTGTTGGGGCACCACACCCTGGCCGCAAAGTCCACCTTCAGCATTCCCTGGGGACCTCCCCCACTCCATTCCCTTGCTGTTCTGTTGCACCCTTTAGTGTTTTGCCTGTGTGGCAGGATCAGATCGGGTGCAATTCCCACACTGTGTCTCTGGTGTTGTCCCCTATAGGGCTATGGGTCAGTGAGGGCCATCATGTCTCATAGTGGGGCCGGCCATGTGGTCCTCTCTGAGGACTAGTTGCTCTAATTGGGAACATCTTCCTCACAGCCTGGTGGGCCAGGATGTGCTCCATTCTCTCCTCCTCCCCCTTCATATGCTCCCCGTGTGCTCCAATCAGATATGTCCCTCTCCCGGAGCTGCAAATTCAATGCTGTCCTTTGAGACAGTGTCTTATATTAATTTTTGCTCCCAAAGATGCGCTAGATCTTATTTTCGGGGAGGTCTTATTTTGGGGGTGTTTACTTTGGGGTAACAGGGTAGTAGGTGGTACTCACTCCACAAGTGATTTAAGAAAGGAGAGTCAATGTTCTAAACAGATTCTAATCCATTCCGACTCACCGGGCTCTAATAGGCGGAAATGCTCCAAAAGGGTTCCGTGGCTGTCCATCTTTGGCATCCTGCAGCCTCTTTTTTCTTGCTGAGAGGTTGGTGGATTCTAATTGCTGACCCTGGGTTAGCAGCCCATACTCACTGCTCCACCAGGGCTCCTCTCCAAATAGAAGGGGGTGTGTTTGCGCCGCTCAACTACATCGTTTCATACTCCTGTTCAAACAGTAAAATGCCCAGGACCCTAACGACCAGATGCCTACGTTCAAACCGCCAGTTTCCCTTCCGCCCCTACACTGGCTGCACCTTCATCATGGCGGGAAACAGTCCCGATTTTAAACAATTTTTCCCATGTCCCTCGGCGTTTTTAAAAAGTCCCGATTTTTTGAAAGAATGCACGACAAGCTAGGGTAGACGGTTTCCGGCTGCCATGTGGCTATTTCGTCAGGATATGAGTTTTATCAGTGGTGTCCCGCTTTACCAATGTTAACTGGCTGAAGTGCCACGGGCGTTTCCGCACCGGCAACGAGCAGTCAGGACAGAAGGTCTCAATTCGACTGGCCAAGCGCCGCGTGCCTGGGCATACTTTAGGACCGACACGAAAGTTGCGCTCCCCGGCGCGCAGCCCTGTTTACAAAGCTTCCCGGGCGCTGTGACGCCACTTCCGTCGCTCTTGGTTGTGACTCATCAGGACGTTCCGGCGTTACTGATACGCCGCGTCTCCTACATCCCAGGGTGCACTGCGGGCGCGCTCTCTTTCCGCTCGGCCGTTCCGCTTAGAGGAGGTAGGTTGGCTGGGGCGCGAGGCTTTCGGGCTCCATCGTCCCCCATCCACTTCCATCTTTGTGGGTCGTCCTCCGCCGCAACCATGAAGGGCCACTCCAGGGGCCCCTCCCGGCCTCGGAAGCAGTTGGGCCGCTCCTGGGCCTCTAGCGGCTCGACCTGGCAGCCGTAGCTGGAAACCCCGGCAGGGACCCACCCGCGAGCGCGGAGTGTTCGGCGCTCGGGTGGTGGGTAGCAGCACTCTGCGCGTCCGCACCCCGCTCCCTAACTCTGCACCCTCTGTTTTTCGCATTTTCGGGTCCAGGGCCGTAGGCAGCCATGGCGCCCAGCCGGAATGGCATGATCCTGAAGCCCCACTTCCACAAGGACTGGCAGCGGCGTGTGTCCACGTGGTTCAACCAGCCGGCGCGGAAGATACGCAGG